GTTTTCAACTTAAGACCCATAGTAGGAATGTAATATTATCATCATAATAAAGAAGGAGCAGAACCTTGGAAATGGTTCTAAAAGTCTTGGAACCAATAAAAATTTTACCAAACTTTTCTATAATTGTCTTCTATAGATATTTTGTACCAGAGATAGCTACCAAGTAGCCTTACAATTAAGCTATTACTTATTATTATAATATCTTTTGATATTATTAAAATGTTTCCTTTCCTAAGTGTGTCTTCTTGTAAGTGTCGGACTTTTGAGCAATGCTCGTTTGTTTGGTTATTTTAGTAAAACGTGCTCTGGATGAATGCTGTATGAAAAAACTTAGAAGAGCTTTCTTAGGGGTATATCCAAAAATCACTATTTCTTGTATTTATTGCCTTTTTTTATGGAGGCTTAAGAGAAATAATTTTGAATTAATCTTAGAACAGGGGGACTTCCTGGTGGTCCAGTGGTTAAGAATCCGCCTTCCAGTGCAGGGAGCGCAGGTTCAATCCCTGGTCAGGGAACTAAGATCCTGCATGCTAAGGGGCAACTAAGCCTGCTTGCCACAACTACGGAGCCTGCATGCCAAAACTAGAGAGCCCATGTGCCGCAACTACAGAGCTCATGTGCTCTGGAGCCTGTGCACCACAACTAGAGAGCCCATGCGCTGCAACTAGAGAGAAGCCCACATGCCACAGCAAAAGATCCCATGTTTTGCAACTAAGACCCAATGCAGCCAAAAATAAATAAATAAATAAGCAAATAAATATTAAAAAAAAATCTTAGAACAGAATAAGGATCTGTATACTCTATGATCTGAGACTCCTCTCTATTTTATAGGACCATATTTACCTTTCCCTTTATTTTGTTAAACTTAGTGCATGATTATATGCTTCAAGACTAATGTGTATTAGGTAATGACAGTTGTTCAGGTAATGGAAAAGGTGTATAAGTGAATCAGACAGTGAAATACGTGAATTAAAGAATGTTGTTAAAGAACCCATAAAGGCAGAAACATACTTTTATATAATCAATCTGTTAATGACAGCATTACTTTTTACTTTTAAGTGTTAAGGCTTCATTATTTTGCCTGGAATACCCCTACCCACAGGTCATTGCCTCTCAAAATGCTCATTTTTCAAGGTTTAACTTAAATGCCAACTTCTTTTGCATGTTATCCCTACTTACCATTTGCTTGCCACTCCTTCTTCATATGCTTTCCCATCTAAATTATTTCTCTCTTATGATACATTCTACATTCTGCCTTGTATCATACTCATACATCTACATGTCTGTCCATATCCTTGAGGGAAATGATTTTATTTTGATGTCTTACCATAGAACCCAGTGCCTTGTACATATATATTTGATCAATATTTGTTGAGTACAGGAATAAATATATAATAAAGGATATCTGAATAACATGCTTATCATGTTATTGGTAAGCATGGTAATGACATTTTTTTACCACTACAGTTGTGTTTATATACTAATATTTAAACGTTTAAAAAATTTTTACTTGTATTTTTAACTATTAGAAATTCTGACTTAGTGTTGATTGGTAGAATATGTCAGTGTATTTTTAAAATCTCCATAGTATGGTATTTTTTACATTACTTTCTTCTATTTATCTCTACCACACCCCTTTAAAAATATTATAGGAAACATGTTTTTTTTTTCTTTTTTTAAAAATTTTTATTGGAGTATAGTTGATTTACAATGTTGTGTTAGTTTCAGGTGTACAGCAAAGTGAGTCAGTTATACATATACATATATCCACTCTTTTTTTTTCTTTTTTTTTGTGGTATGCGGGCCTCTCACTGCTGTGGCCTCTCCCGTCGCGGAGCACAGGCTCTGGACGCGCAGGCCCAGTGGCCATGGCTCACGGGCCCAGCCGCTCTGCAGCATGTGGGATCCTCCCGGACCGGGGCACAAACCCGTGTCCCCTGCATCAGCAGGCAGACTCTCAACCACTGCGCCACCAGGGAAGCCCTTTTTTTCTTTTTTGATTCTTTTCCCATATATGCCATTACAGAGTACTGAGTAGAGTTACCTGTGCTATACAGAAGGTTCTTATTAGTTATCTATTTTATGTATAGTAGTGGGTATATGTCAATCCCAATCTCCTAATTTATTCCTTTCCCCCTTATTCCCTGATAACCATAAGTTTGTTTTCTACATCCGTGACTCTACTTCTATTTTGTAAATAAGTTCATTTGTACCCTTTTTTATTCGATTCCACATATAAGTGGTATCATAATGATATTTGTTTTTCCCTTTCTGACTTCATTCAGTATGACAAATCTAGGTCCATCCATGTTGCTGCAAATGGCATTACTTTGTTCTTTTTTATTGACTCTAGGTCCATCCACTTCACTACAAATAACTCAATTTCATTTTTTTATGGCTGAGTAATATTCCATTATATATATGTACCACACCTTCTTCATCCATTCCTCTGTTGAACATTTAGGTTGCTTCAGTGTTGCTTCTGGCTATTTTAAATAGTGCTGCAATGGACATTGGAGTGCATGAAACCTAATAAGATTTTGACAAATTACTTCTCTGTGCCCTAGTTTCATCAACTGTACAGTGGGGATAAAGGTATCTACCTTATAGGGCTCTGGGAAGGATTAAATTAAAGGATATTTGTAGGGCACTTAGGATAGTACCTGAGGCATGCTAGTCTGTCTGTCTTTTGTTATTGTTATTAATCTTTCAAACACCTCTGCCAGCAGAGTGCCCTCTTCATTTGACAGGTGAGCATGTCGAAGGCCAGAGTCACATGGCCTGTAAGGGTAGCACCAACAGCAGTCAGGTCTCCTGACTTCTTCCCTGTCCCTATGGTTGCCTTTGTGTAATGATTGTGGGGTGTTTGGATTAATAATAAATAAAGGAAGCAGAGTGGGAAAAACGCCTACAAAGTAGGCCTGCTGTTTGGAAGAAGCTACGTGTACAAGAAGGGTGGCATTACTTACATATTCTACTTGCAACCTGATCTTAAGCTTCTCAGGTACAGAGTGCACCCAGGGATATTTAGGGAACATTACTGCAAGGCCATTTGCACTGGCATTGTTCTACCCTGGTGGGCACAGACTTGGGACAATAAGCTGTATCCAGGGTTGGCATTCACTTTGGAAATGTTTGCTGATTGTTTAATCAGATTCAGTATTCTGAGCCTTAAAGGAGGCTAAGATTTTTGTGGTTGCGAGGTGATTTGAACCTGTCAGTATGGTATGAGGACAAAAAAAAAATTATTGTGGGAAAGAAACTTTTTTTAATGAATCAGAATATGGTAGTGAATGCTGTCTTAAAGAGGTGAACAGTTTTATCAAGCACTTGGATTCATTTTCCTTCCATACCATGCTAGTTCTGATATTATTTCTTACAAAAGAAAAATTTTAATCTGTCTAGAAATTACTGTATTTAGTAGCCTGTGGTTAGAAATATATATATATATAATGTGTAGGCTATTAAAATGTTGATGCTTTAGAATGTCAATTACAGATTGAAATATATTACTTTAAAATGTGACCACTTTTGTGTACATTTGTCATTAGTCTGTTTCTTCAGAAATTTATGAAGGTGCTAGGGAGAAGAAGGACTGTGTGTGTTTTTATTTTGCAATATTTAGCACAGGGCTACATAGGCATGAGTACTGAATGAACATTATTTGATTATAAGTACCTTTATTGTATAAATTTTTTCAAAATTATGATTATTTATATTCTTTGTAAACAGAAGAGGACATTTGTAGGAATATATTGGGAAGTATAGTGGTGTTAAATGGGATGCTGCTGTTTAATACCTCATGGTTTTTTTTAGCTTATATATTTTAGGCAAGGACATGAAGCTTATATACGGGCTGTAAGAAAATCAAAAATATACAGCGTTAACCTACAAAAACAGCCATGGAATAAAATGGATCTCAGGGTAAGTTCACCAAATTAATAATCTATGCAATTGAAGTATCTTGGGAATTAAGTTATTAGCCTGTAGGCTTATTCTCAGTTTCTGGATATTTCACTGTTGATTGTGCATCCAGGATAAAGTGATGTACCATACTCTTGTACAGCTGAGTGTTATGGGTCACATTTTATGGTTCCCGAAATTTGTATGCCACCTGTTGTCTTGATTATTTGACCTAATTTCCTTCAAGCTTCAGGTCCTGTAGTGTATACCATTCTATTGATATAATTGGAGCAAAGCAGTAGTTCCATGGTGTGGATATTTTCCTCAGCATCTTTGAACGTTCTAGAAGCTCTATAAACTGTGACTGCATGTGTGGACCACAAACACCCTTGAGATTCTGGCAAATTTAGGATATAGTAAATATCATAAATCCTAAGAAACTCATGACTTTGTGGTGCTTTATTTATTATTTCTTTTGATATAGTACCTATGTAGCTACATGTCACTGAATAAAACAGATATGTTTATTTTTTAGAGAAGGATTTTCTCACTGTAAATACATATTCATTCATTCATTCATACTTATATAAATACAGAGATACATACACCATCATTTCTACTTAGGTTTACATTTGTTTTTGTCATTTTGTTTTTTCGACTCTGAGAGCAAGAGAGTAAAGGGCAATTTTACGATAGTTTTCCAGGTAAATGAAGAGTTGTTGTGTAATGATGCTTAAAAGGAAGGATGCAAGAGAGAATGTATATATTTATTTAAATAAAGAATTGAAACATAAAAATTGTATTAAGGTTGTAAGGTGCTAAAATTTCTTATCAAGTGAGCTTTACATAATCATCTCCTGGGAAACAGGAATGCTACCATCTGTTCTGAATCAGGTGAAAATTGAGGTTTTTGTTCTTGTTTTTTTTTTTTTTAGGATCAAAGGAATAAATAAACCATATGATTTCCTACTTTAAATTCTAACCCTGTGGTTATAGGAAATTTTAGGAGGCAGCATATATGTGGTATAAGAGCCTGGGCTTTGGAATAAGACCTGAATTTCAATCCCAGCTCTGCTATATACTAGTGTATAACTTGAAACAAGTCACTGTACCCATGAGGCTCAGTTTTGTCATCTGTTAAGTGTGACTAATAACAATGTATAAGGATGGTATTATAAAATAATATTGTAGGCACTCATAAATGTAAGTCCTTTTCCCAAACATATACATAACATGTCCACCTGCCTACTTACAAACTGTATTTCTGCTAGAGGAGTGATTATTTTCTTTTTTTAAATCGAAATATCACTTTTATTGACAAGATAGGGCCACAATGGGCAGCTCCACAGAACACAAATAAGACAGTCTCAAGACAAGGGTGTAAAATTGCAGCAGACAGGTTAATACTCTTTACCCTCATCCTCTCCCTCAGCACTATCCGCTCCAGCCTCCTCATACTCCTTCTCAAGGGCAGCCATGTCCTCACAGGCCTCAGAAAACTCTCTTTCCTCCATGCCCTCACCCACGTACCAGTGAACAAAGGCACTCTTGACATACATCAGGTCAAACTTGTGGTCCAGGTGAGCCTTCTTGCCATAGTCGACAGAGAGACGTTCCATCAGCAGGGAGGTGAACCCAGAACCAGTTCCCCAACAAAGCTGTGGAAAACCAGGAAGCCCTGAAGGCCTGTGCACTGGTCAGCCAGTTTCCGAATTTGGTCCAAGACAAGGTCAATGATCTCCTTGCCAGTGGTGTAATGACCATGGAAATAGTTATTGGCAGCATCTTCCTTGCCTGTGACGATCTTCTCAGGGTGGAAGAGCTGGTGGTAGGTGCCAGTGTGAACTTCATCAGTGATTGTGGGTTCCAGGTCTACAAACGCTGTCCTGGGCACATGCTTGCCAGCACCTGTCTCACTGAAGAAGGTGTTGAAGGAGTCATCTCCTCCCGCAATGGGCTTGTCACTTGGCATCTGGTCATCAGGCTGGATGCCATGTTCCAGGCAGTAGAGCTCCCAGCAGAAATTGCTGATCTGGACACCAGCCTGGCCAACATGGATGGAGATGCACTCACGCATGACTGAGACTTGTAGGGTTCTGTGGGGTTGGAGGAGGCGAGAAGACGGCCACAAAGATCTCCCACTGACAGACTATCAAGGAGTTCAGGAGAGAAGTAGTGACAAGAGGAGTGATTCTTAACCAGCAGAGCAATTCTTAACTCCCCAGAGAAAAACCTGGGGAGTTTTTTCAAAATATATATGACTGAGCTCTACCCCAGACATAGTGAACTCAATTCCATAGTAGTAGGGTTTAGGAACATGAATTTTAAAAATGTTCCCAAGGGGATTCTGCTGTTTATCATTGGTTTATAGCCCTGCACTAAACTACAAATTGCTATTAAGGGGTCAAGAGCCATGTCTTCTTACCTTTAACACTTAGTGGAGTGCCTAGTATCTGGTGGGTATTAGGATAATTTTTATTTTTTTTATTTTTAAAGTTTTATTGGAGTATAGTTGATTTACAAAGTTGTTTCAGATAATTTTTAAATTGTTCAAATAATAATGAAATAATATGCAAATGTTAGGCAATTATTTATATTGAAAGTAATAATTTATTGTTATTCTCATGAATAGGAACAAGAATTTGTTAAGATTGTAGGAATCAAATATGAGGTTGGACCACCTACACTGTGCTGCTTGAAGCTTGCATTTCTGGACCCCATTTCAGGCAAAATGACTGGAGAATCTTTTTCCATTAAGTGAGTATCTATCTTGGATCATGTGTGTGTGTGTGTGTGTGTGTGTGTGTGTGTGTATTTTAATCCCTATGATGTATTCTGCAGAGTACAAGTCTTAATGGGAAAGAAAACATGACAGCACTACAGGCTTTAGAGTTTAAGGACCAAGGTTTAATGTTTTTTAATAATATATGTTGCATGTTTTATTAAAAGTATACACAAAAGTGATCAATATTAAAGATTTTCATATTCAGAAATATGAAACCATATTTAACAAATCATTAAGTATCTAAATGCAGACTTAGTTATAAAACCATAACTAGTAAAATATTAGTATTTAAACAATATTAGAATCTTAACTATATAAAATAAAACCCATATTAATACTTTGAAAGGATTACTTACTATTGAACAATAGATATTGCAGAAGAGACTTTTCTGACATAGCTTTCTAATAGTTCTTTTTTTTTTTTAACTTCTTTATTGGAGTAAAATTGCTTTACAATGGTGTGTTAGTTTCTGCTTTATAACAAAGTGAATCACTTATACATATACATATGTTCCCATATGTCTTCCCTCTTGCGTCTCCCTCCCTCCCACCCTCCCTATCCCACCCCTCCAGGCTGTCACAAAGCACCGAGCCAATATCCCTGTGCCATGCGACTGCTTCCCACTAGCTATCTACCTTACTACGTTTGTTAGTGTGTATATGTCCATGACTCTCTGTCGCCCTGTCACAGCTCACCCTTCCCCCTCCCCATAACCTCAAGTCCGTTCTCTAGTAGGTCTGTGTCTTAATTCCTGCCTTACCCCTAGGTTCTTCATTACATTTTTTTTCTTAAATTCCATATATATGTGTTAGCATACGGTATTTGTCTCTCTCTTTCTGACTTACTTCACTCTGTATGACAGACTCTAGATCTATCCACCTCATTACAAATAGCTCAATTTCGTTTCCTTTTATTGCTGAGTAATATTCCATTGTATATATGTGCCACATCTTCTTTATCCATTCATCCGATGATGGGCACTTAGGTTGTTTCCATCTCTGGGCTATTGTAAATAGAGCTGCAATGAACATTTTGGTACATGACTCTTTTTGAATTTTGGTTTTCTCAGGGTATATGCCCAGTAGTGGGATTGCTGGGTCATATGGTAGTTCTATTTGTAGATTTTTAAGGAACCTCCATACTGTTCTCCATAGTGGCTGCACCAATTCACATTCCCACCAGCAGTGCAAGAGTGTTCCCTTTTCTCCACACCCTCTCCAGCATTTATTGTTTCTAGATTTTTTGATGATGGCCATTCTGACTGGTGTGAGATGATATCTCATTGTAGTTTTGATTTGCATTTCTCTAATGATTAATGATGTTGAGCATTCTTTCATGTGTTTGTTGGCAGTCTGTATATCTTCTTTGGAGAAATGTCTATTTAGGTCTTCTGCCCATTTTTGGATTGGGTTGTTTGATTTTTGTTATTGAGCTGCATGAGCTGCTTGTAAATTTTGGAGATTAATCCTTTGTCGGTTGCTTCATTTGCAAATATTTTCTCCCATTCTGAGGGTTGTCTTTTGGTCTTGTTTATAGTTTCCTTTGCTGTGCAAAAGCTTTGAAGTTTCATTAGGTCCCATTTGTTTATTTTTGTTTTTATTTCCATTACTGTAGGAGGTGGGTCAGAAAGGATCTTGCTGTGATTGATGTCATAGAGTGTTCTGCCTATGTTTTCCTCTAAGAGTTTGATAGTTTCTGGCCTTACATTTAGGTTTTTAATCCATTTTGAGCTTATTTTTGTGTATGGTGTTAGGGAGTGATCTAATCTCATAATTTTACATGTATCTGTCCAGTTTTCCCAGCACTACTTATTGAAGAGGCTGTCCTTTCTCCACTGTACATTCCTGCCACCTTTATCAAAGATAAGGTGTCCATATGTGCATGGGTTTATCTCTGGGCTTTCTATCCTTTTCCATTGATCTATCTTTCTGTTTTTGTGCCAGTACCAAGGTTTAATATTTAATTCTTGCTTTGTATAATTCTTGCTTTGTTTCTCCACTTAATAGCTCTCTCTCTCTCTCTCTCTCTCTCTTCCTCTCTCTCTGTCTCTCTCTCTCTGTCTCTCTCTCTCTGTCTCTCTCTCTCTCTCTCTCTCTCTCTCTCTCTATATATATATATATATATATATATATATATATATATATCAACTGAAAAATGTACAGTGTTAGAGTTGTGGGTTTCAGTTTTATTTGGGGACTCACTGAGGACTATAGTCTAGGAGACAGCCTCTAAGATAGCTCTGACAAACTGCTCTCAAGAGTTAGGAGGGAATGAGCCAGCGTATATATGATTTTTGGGGGGCTGGGAAATACCTGTTGTCAAGCATACATCCTGCTAGTTATTGCTAGTCACAAGGATCCGATATCTCAGTTAATGGTTTTAGCGCTTTTCTATATATGGGAAGATGCAAGAATCTGGGGTCACTGAAGTTCTTCATTACATATGCATCTTAACTATCTAGGGGCCCATATATCCAAAACACAGAATGTTTCATCTTGAATTCCTTTCAGGGTGTGCTGTAGGTCAGCAACTACAGTGGCTAATGACTTGATCCTTGTAGAACTGGAATCACAGGCAACATATTTCTGTTTACAGTAACCCCCGTTGGTCATAAATTCATCTAAGGTTTGGGAAGAATGTCATGACCCATTTGTCCCATGGCATTATGAAGGCTTATTCTTAGGTCAAGCAAGGACTTTGTTGGTAGGCCACTCAATGTGCTATTTCTGGATTAGGCTCAGCATCATTTGTTTTACTAGACTCTTATAATCCAGGAAATATCCTCCCTTGTTGCTTCTTCCCATATCTAGAGTTGTGCTATTACAATTAATTTATATGGAACTATGTATGTGATCAATTGCCTCAAGACATTGAAGCATCATTAGTTTTGTTGAAGACCTGGTTACATAACTGGGTAATGTAAGAAACAACAATCTTATAAAATAGACAGGATAAAAATAATATAGCTAGTGATATAGGGCTTCCCTGATGGCACAGTGGTTAAGAATCCACCTGCCAATGCAGGGGACATGGGTTCCAGCCCTGGCCCAGGAAGATCCCACATGCCGTGGAGCAACTAAGCCCGTGCGCCACAACTACTGACCCTGCACTGTAGAGCCCGTGAGCCACAACTACTGAACCTGCATGCCACAACTGCTGAAGCCCACGGGCCTAGAGCCTGTGCTCCCCAACAAGAAAGGCCACAACAATGAGAAACCCGCACACCACATTGAGGAGTAGCCCCTGCTCACCGCAACTAGAGAAAGCCCACATGCAGCAACAAAGACCCAAGGCAGCCAAAAATAAATACATAATAAATAAATAAATAAATAAATAAATAATATAGTTAGTGATATAAATAATGTCATAAGGGAAAGTTGAGGAAGATGGCGGAAGAGTAAGATGCGGAGATCACCTTGCTCCACACAGGTACATCAGAAATACATCTACACGTGGAACTGCTCCTATAGAACACCCACTGAACGATGGCATAAGACTTCAGACCTCCCAAAAGGCAAGAAACTCCCCACGTACATGGGTAGGGCAAAAGAAAAAAGAATAAACAGAGAGAAAAGAATATGGACGGGACCTGCACCAGTGGGAGGGAGCTGTGAAGGAGGAAAGGTTTCCACACACTAGGAAGCCCCCTCGTGGGCGGAGACTGCAGGTGGCAGAGGGGGGGAGCTTTGGAGCCGCAGAGGAGAGTGCAGCCACAGGGGTGCGGAGGGCAAAGCGGAGAGATTCCCGCACAGAGGATTGGTGCCGACCAGCACTCACCAGCCCAAGAGGCTTGTCTGCTCACCCGCCGGGGCGGGCAGGGCTGGGAGCTGAGGCTCGGGCTTCGGTGGGAGCGCAGGGAGAGGACTGGGGTTGGCGGCGTGTACACAGCCTGAAGGGATTAGTGCACCACAGGTAGCCGGGAGGGGGTCCGGCAAAATGTCTGGACCTGCCGAAGAGGCAAGAGACTTTTTCCTCCCTCTTTGTTTCCTGGTGCACGAGGAGAGGGGATTAAGAGTGCTGCTTAAAGGAGCTCCAGAGATGGGCGCAAGCTGCGGCTGTCAGTGCAGACCCCAGAGACGGGCATGAGACGCTAAGGCTGCTGCTGCCGCCACCAAGAAACCTGTGTGCAAGCACAGGGCACTATCCACACCTCCCCTCCCAGGAGGATGTGCAGCCCGCTACTGCCAGGGTCCCGTGATCCAGGGACAACTTCCCTGGGAGAACACAGGGCGCACCTCAGGATGCTGCAACGTCATGCCACCCTCTCCTTCTGCAGGTTCGCCCCACATCCATACCCCTCCCTCCCCCCGGCCTGAGTGAGCCAGAGCCCCCGAATCAGCTGCTCCTTTAACCCCGTCCTGTCTGAGCGAAGAACAGACGCCCTCAGGCGACCGACATGCAGAGGCAAGTCCACATCCAAAGCTGAACCCCAGGAGCTGTGCGAACAAAGAAGAGAAAGGGAAATCTCTCCCAGCAGCCTCAGGAACAGTGGATTAAATCTCCACAATCAACTTGATGTACCCTGCATCTGTGGAATACCTGAATAGACAACGAGTCATCCCAAATTAAGGAGGTGGACTCTGGGAGCAAGATATATAATTTTTCCCCCTTTTCCTCTTTTTGTGAGTGTGTATGTGTATGCTTCTCTGTGATACTTTGTCTGTATAGCTTTGCTTTCACCATTTGCCCTAGGGTTCTGTCCATCCGTTTTTCTGTTTTTTTTTTTTTTACTTAAAAATTTT